GCTAAGGAGCTGAAACTTTGTAAGGATATTCCCTGTGCATGTACTAGCTAAAGATTTCAAATTCAGACCCTAGTTATGCGTGGTACTCAGTAAGGACTTATGAAAGTTTTAGTGGGAAAATTGCTGACTCAGGAACCAGAAAAGCTAGAAAGCTGAAATTTTAGGGGAATGCTCCCTGCTCAAGTAAAATCCCAATATTTCAAATTCAGCCTTGAGGTATGCGTGGTTCTTATGTACGAGCACTTAAGAGTTTTGGCGGAAACATTTCTCACTGAACAGCTAGGTTACTCTTAAAGAACGACCGTTAAATGGAAGTTGTACATTTACTTTGTGCAAGATTTATTGTGATTTATGCTAATGATCGCAAAAGGTCGGTGTAAAGCAACAACCATTCATGCAGTTAATGATCTGAGTACTTCAAGTCGGGTGCGAAAACGCATGATCGCCCGGGCCCACCTGGTGCATTCTAGCTTGGGTTGCTTTTATAACAAGGTAAGATTGGGCTGAAGGTTTTGCTGAAGCGTTGGAAATAATGTAACCAGCTTTCCTCCGTGTAGAGCGAACAAGAAAAAGAAGGAAACGAATAGCTGGCTAAGCACTCAGTATTGCTACTTCGGCTTCAACAATCGTAGACAGTTCCCCAGTTAACAGGACGAGAAGAGGAGGGAGTGGGGAAGGGTGTAAATGGGTTACGAAAGAATGGGATTATATTAGTGTGTCAGTGTGAAATCTCATCGTATTACGAATTAAGCTCAAAAAAATTGCGCCGCTGCTGCGCCTTTGGCCAAAACTGATCAGATATCGTAGATGAGGTTCTCTTCAGGCGCTGCCTCCCTGATAGTATATTTAAGCAATGGTTTCATTGTTTACGGGCTGGAAGTTCGATTTTCTTACTGATACTTCGTTCTCCGCAAAAATCCAAATATTTCATTTTCAGGTAACAATAGTAGTGAAAGAGAATGCTCGATGTACAGAGCGTAAGCAATACGAAGTTGGATCGGAAGATGAGCGGTTACCAGATTCATTTACCGATGGCACTAAATATGGCGGCAATTCGGACCGCAGAGCGGTTGAAATCAAGCATTGGAATGGTAGCCGAGTGGAAATTTCACTACGACATATCGCAACGAGAGTTTTAGTTCGGCGACGTGGTGCTTACTTGTCAGTAGCATTAAGGATGCCGGAACGAATCGTTGAGGTTTTAGCTTAAACTAAACACATTAGAACAATTACGAAATGCGCATGTGTATCGAGTAAGAGCTAGAGGCAAATTAGCCTGACACGGCAGAGATTGGCGTGGCTATGTGCAGCACGGGCACTGCAACACGATAAAATCGAAAACTCAACAGTGACTACTTGTGGACTCATAATTATATCGCTGCATTTTTAGCGATTTTGCGTCTTATACAAACGCAAAAGGTCCGGCAACATAGGAAGAAGGAACTCTGCAAGGACATTCTCTAACCCAGGCTGGAATGCAGCGGGCGGGCGCGTGCGATCATGCGTTTTTGCACCGGA